ACCTAAATCTCATGCTTGGAACAGGGCATGGAAATAATTTTTCTTCTCAGGACATGGGAGGTCTAGATACCCAAGGTTGTGTTAGGAGGAAGAGTGGACAACTGATGTCTTTTGGTAAGTTAGATGCAGAGGCTGTCTTCCTGTCTGCCGGTTTTGATCCAGACTCTAATGTTTGTTCAGGAGGATGCGGAGGGGGCTAGAGGAAGGAAAGAAGCCGGAGGCAGAAGGAAGTGGGTGAAGCCTGTCACTTTCCCCATAGCTTCTGTGGAAAAGAGAAGATTCTTTCTCTAGACAGACACCCCAACAAATTCTTTCTTAGACCTTCGTGGCCTAAAGTGGACTAGAAATTACTCATTAAATGATTTAAACTTAATCATGCTTTAATTTAATCTTTATGGAGCTGAGGATCGGGTCACTCCCGCCCCAGCCACCAACTACAGATGTTGCTACCCAGAACAGTTGTAATTCAGTGTCCTCTATCATGTGGCCCCCAAGGACAATTCTCCTTTGCTTAATCCACTTCTCTTGTAGAGAAGGTACAGTAGTGGGCATGAACTGAGAGAAATAACACAAGACAAAATCCTACCAACTAAAAATTGACATAGAATACGTGTTAAGTCCCTCAAAAGTTGTATGGAATCTATTAGGTGTGTAGAAGACAAAGAAAAACCATTGCCCTACAGTGATAATAATAGAAAAAACTTAGGCTTCATTAGGAAGATTTTGACAGCTTAGTAGCCTGTGATTAAAGCTGAACTCATGATACAGCATTTTTGGCCAAGGAAGTGATGTGTCTGGACATCTAGAAATGAGAAAAATGTGAAGTATAAGATTGATAAAGAAATGAGATTGTAAAACTGAGCTGCCCAATATAATAACCAACAGTCAAATACAAATATTAAGTGTGTTTAATGTGGCTGACTGGTTCAAAATGAGATGAGATAGGAGGGTAAATATATACAAGATAATAAAAATTTAATATAAAATGTAAATGATCACAACAGTAATTAAGAAAAATATTTTGATTTATTTTTATTTTTATGTGTACGAGTGTCTTGCCTACATGTATATAAGTGCACCCATGCTGTGCAAAGTCCACAAAGGTCAGAAGAGGGTGTTGGATCCCCTGGAACTGGAGTTATAGACAGTTGTTAGCTGCCACGTGGATGTTGGAAACTGAACCTGGGTCCTCTGCAAGAGCTGTCAGTGCTCTTAACCACTGAGTCATCTCTCTAGCTCCAACACATGACATCAATAACTTTTATACTGATCATATATTGTTATGATAATTTTACTTATACTAGGTTATATAATTAAGCTATAATTTATTTTACATTTCTTCTATTAATATAACTTTTAAAATTTAAAATGATTCATATTGCATCTTTTAACAAAGTTGAATAGTCATACTTCATCAGTCTTATGGAAATGGGTAATGATAATGTGTGAAGGACAGATGATACCCTGGGGAGCACCAAGCACAGATACCCTGGGGAGCACCAAGCACAGAAACCCAGGGAAATGTTGAGGATTTCACCTTACCATGAAAAGCATAATAAAGTTGTTAAGTATAACTGATCCATCATCTTATGTTTCATGGTACCTTGCTATGAATTTACTATCCTAATCTATTTTCGTTTAGTTTAGTTTACCCTCCAGAGTGTTAAGAAAGTTAAGTATTGCACTTTCTGCTTTTTGTTGAACCACTTTAATCTTTGCAAGCAAACATTTTTTAAATGAATGTTCAAGAATATGATTAGTTTACTCTTTCTTTTCTGGTGTTATCTGTTTCCCTTTCCTATTTCTGTTATTATTATTACTATTATTTTGGTATAGAGAATTGAACCCAGGTCTCACAGATACTAAGCAAGCACTCTACCACTGAATCCCACACCTCTAGCCTTCTTGTTTCCTTTTTATAATGAGTGCTTACTTGCTGTGTTAATTGGAAAGCCACAACTTTCTCATCTACAAAATACAGATGCTATGACCTGGGATGTAGGTGTGTTGTGTTAGGTGAGATAAATGCCCGTGCCCTTGAAATGCCATTCAGATAGAAGCTAAGCAAGGTGCTGTGTTAGATAAAACAGGAGAGAGATGGATGACTCTGGTCTCTCCTCCCTCAGAGGGAAAATGAAGAATCTGTGTTAAACCAAGTGGACTTCAGGCAAGGTGACACAGACAGGCAGTAGAGTTTATTCTGTATGTGTCAAGAGAAAGAGTAATCTATTCCCCTGAGCAGTCAGGTTTGATCACTCTCTCAACAGGCTGAACCATAGGGATGGATGAGATTTTGGATCAAGGGAACTGAATGAATGAGACTAGGAAAGTTCACAGGGCAAATTTGAGGTTCCTTTAGGTTTAAATATTCATGGATTTTTAATATATTACAGTAGGTTCTGTGTTGCCCTGCTGTGCCTCGATGGATCATCTCCTAGTCTGGGGGTTGCTTGTACAAAGGAGACTGACATTCCTCTGTGCATATCTGTGTCTAGCACAGAATGTGGGAACCTTGTCCCAGAGATACATTTGCTGATAGTTGTGCATTGATACCCAGTGTAGGTTTAAATTTTAATTTTTGACATTTCTTTATCTTACATCTGTATATATGTGTGGGGGTGTGTATGGAGGTGAGAGGACAACTTGTAGGAGTCAGTTATCTCCTTCCACTGTGTGGGTCCTGAGAATTGAGCACAGTTCTTAGGCTTAGCATGAGCGCCTTTACCTGCAGAGCCATCTCACTGGCCGCCTAAATTCTTACTCTTACGTGAGGAACACATCAGAAGCCCTGGAGCTTTATTGTAGTTCCTGCAGCCAGGAGGCTTATTCCACCTCCCAGTGACCATCCTAATCCTGTAGGTTCTCAACTCAGCCTCCCATGGGGCTCTTTTCAGCAAAGGATACAGCTGGCTGCACTCCTTCTAGAAAAGAGAAAAAGATGGCTTGCCTGCCAACTTGGGGCTACCTGGGAAGGAGTGTTATTCTGCTGGGCAGGAAGCACAGTCAGTATTCAGAAAATACAATGTTTGCTCTGCAGCAAAGCCGGTCTTTGGGGTGAAAGAAAATCGGCAGCTTAGGGACTCGACCCTCTGGGTCTTCTGATCCCTCCATGCTCCCGTAGAGTTTGCTTTTCTATTTTCTACTTAACTGCTGAGTTGTTTCTATGTTAGTGTGGTTACAGTTATGCTGTATTCTATATGCTCTATGACTGACAGAGTCACTGAAAGCAGAGACCCGAGAAACTTCTTTTTCTATTCACTTTCTCTGAACCCTTGGCTTCAGAAGTTAACTCAAGCATGTTTTGACATGGCCTAAGAAATCATTTGATAAATGTTAAATAACTGCCCCCTGTGTTTGAACTCCTTGGGAATGATGGCTGTGTTAAGGCCCAAGCTTCTGGTAGGAATTGGGGATGGTGGAAATCAGGGACACAGGGAAACGGTTGAGAGTGAGGGCAGAGCTGAGGGAGAGACTGTGACTTGGTGTGCCCTGGTGAAGGGTCTGTTGTATTTAAAAACTTGGTTCCTGAGGTGGTGCTGTCCCTTAGTGGAAACCATTTGGGCTGTGGGGCCCAGTGGGGGGCCCTTAGATCACCAGGATATGCTGTGGAAGGGATTTGGGGACTCCAGCCCTGAATTTAATCTTTTTTCTTTTTTCTTTTTTGGGTCTTTTTGAGACAGGATCTCAAAAGCCCCAGCTGGCCTGGAACTCACTATGTAGACCAGGCTGGCCTTGAATTTACAGAGATCTACCTGCCTCTGCCTCCCGAGTGCTGCAATTAAAGGTGTGCGCCACCACGCCTGGCCTGAATTTAACTTTTTGACCAGTAACATATTATCATCTTCTCTTCTCTTCATAGTTTTGTATTTGGGCCTTCAAACTACCAGATTATGGGTGATAAATTAAAGAGAGGCACTGAAAACTTTAAGATGAGCCATATTTGTGAAGGAAAATGAGTTCAAATAAAACTTGACAAACTAAGATGTGTTCACACAGTTTCCCACTATCAGTTATGCTTTTTGTCATCTTTTTACCATTCTGTGAATTTGGGCAGATTACTTAACTCCTCCAGACCTCAGTCTCCTTTTTAAGTTTAGGGGTTACATTTGTTAGTCATTGGCATCCGTTTTATCCCCTAAACATTTTCATCCACTGATTAAATTGCTTCCTCTTCTCCCCTGGTGCTGGGGATTGAACCCATGACCTTTTACATGCTAGGCAAGTGCTCTACCACTGAGCTACACTCTCAGCTCAGCTCCACCTCAATTGCTATTTTGAAGCACTATAATGCAAGATTAAAAAAATATTCCTTATTTTAAAATATCATTGTAGCATGTACATCACTGCCATGCACACAAACATGTAGGCCTTTGGGAATATAGCCTTAAATTTTAGCCGTATGAACTGCAGGTCACATTTAAACCCCTTTGAAGGTGATGAGGACTCAACTCAGATCCTTTGACAAGTACTGGCTTTGTGACATTAAGCAAATTATTTTACTAAGTGTTGATTTCTTGTTTGTAATGTGGGGATAACAATGAGCTTTGTAAAGTCAGTATGATAACTGGGTATGGTGGTGCACACCTCTAATCCTAGCACTTGGGAGGCAGAGGCAGGCGGATCTGTGTGAGTTCAAGGCCAGCCTGGTCTACATAGTGAGTTCCACACCAGTTGGGCTTACAGGGAGACCCTGTCTCAAAAATCCCCCCCCCAAATAAAATAAAGCCAGTATGATGACTAAGGGGGATAGTAGATGTAAATGACTTAGCCTGGAGCCTGGCCTTGAGGAAACATTCAATACTTATTGCCTAATGTTACTCTATGGAAATGTTACCTCAGATTCTATACAGTCAACAGTTTACTAATGTAGTTTATGATCTGGACTTTTGCATGATAAATTGAGGGCTATTTCATTCAATAAATATTTATTGAATAAATTAATTAATAACCAGGATGTCTTGCTGATGGAGATTGACTTAAAATGTTTTTTCTCTTTCCAGATCTTATTTTGTACTTTAAACACACCTAGAATTGACATGGGAAAACTCCTAGGAGCACAAATAGGTCTTGAAGACTTCATATTTGCCCATGTGAAAGGGATAACAAAGGAAGTGAATGTGTATAAATCTGAGGATTCCCTTGGACTCACCATTACAGATAATGGTGTCGGCTTTGCTTTTATCAAGGTAAGGAAAAGAAGAACAATCCCGGGGGTGAGGGGATGTTGACGAGATGGCTCTGTGGTTAAGAGCACTTACTGCTGTTGCAGAGAACCTAGTTTGGTTTCCAGCACCCACATGATGGATCTGATGCCCTCTTATGGCCTCTGTGGGCATTGCACACACCTGGTGCACATACATATATTTAGACAAAACATTCATACATATAAAAGAAAAGAAAATCTTTTTAAAAAATTATGAGATGACCTAATAAAGAAATTTTCTAGATGGGTGTGGTGGTGCATGCCTTTAATCCCAGTACTCGGGAGGCAGAGGTATGCAGGTTTCTGTGAGATTGAAGCCATACTGGTCTACATAGTGAATTATAGGCCAGCTGGGGCTACAGGGAGACCCTGCCAAGTCAAAGAGAGTAGAAATTATTTTCAGAGTGAAAACCAGTGCATTTGGGATTTATGAATTGATGTTTCACTTTTATGTAAAAAAAAAGTTCAAAGATATTTTTTGTTTGTACTTTACTTGAATCCTTTGTGCTTTAAACTTCCTGTAGAATCTAGAACTTGCTGTAAGGGAAAGCCTGGCTCTAGTACTCTTCTTCAGTCATATAAGTTGGCCTCAGTCTGTGGCTCTAGCACCTAATGATGCTCTTGCTGATTTCTAGTGATTTGGCATTACTTCTGCCTGTATGAACTTCACTTCTGTACCCTTTACTCATTTCTTTGAAAATGTTATACAGCATCATCTGAACAATGTATTCCTTTGTTTAAATATGAAGAGCGTGATATAGAACTGTAAAGACGAAGTTTGGAATAATATGAAGATGAGAAAAACTAAGATGTAAAAAGATCTCTTAAAACCAATTCCACTGTAATGTGTAATGAGTCCGTCCATCCGTCCATCCGTCCCTCCCTCCCTCCCTCCCTCCCTCCCTCTCTCTGTATAGGAGGTATAGCGGTTGGCCCCAGAAGCCCAATGCATGCTGGCATGCTAAAGTCTGTGCACACTCAAATGATTAATGCAAATAGCACAGTATTTGCATATAACCTATGCACATCATCCTGTCTATATTAAATCATCTCTAGATTACTTATAATACCTGTGTAAATATTGTACAGTGTTTCTTGGAGACCAAGGAAAAAGTCTGTATAGATCGATACAATTTGAAAATTTTCTTTTGAGACAGTGTCTTGCTGTGTTGTTAAGGCTGTCTATGAACTCTTAGTCTCAAGTGGTCCCCCTGCCTCAGTGCTGGCTGTAACTGTATTAATAACAACTAACTTATGTTGACCTCTTATCAAATGCCAGTCATTTTGAGTGCATTTTCTTGTTTAACCTTCCCAACAATTCTATTTTAATTTAATTTAATTTTGTGTGTTGTGGTGTATGTGTGTGGTATATGTATGTATTCATGTGGGCTTGTCCACATGTGCATATGGGTGCCCACATACATGTGTGCACATGTGTATAGAGGGCAGAGGTTGATGTTGAGTGTCTTCCTCAGTCACTCTCCCCTTTATTTTTTGATACGAGGTCTCTCACTGAACCTGGAGCTCACTGATTCAGCTAGGCTTGTTGGCCCGTGAGCTTTAGGGATCTGTCTGTCTCTACTTCCCCAACGCTAGGATTGTAGGTGCATGCTGCTATGTCCAACTCTATATGTGGATGCTGGAGAGCTAAACCCAGGTCCTCATGCCTATACATCAAACACTTTACCAACCAACCCATCTCCTCTCACAAACTTGCCTCACAACAATTTTATTTTTTAATTTTTTATGTGCATGAGTGTTATGCCTGCATGTATGTAAATGCACCCATATCATGCAGTGCCCGCAGAGATCAGAAGAGGGCTTCAGATCCCCTGGAACTGGAGTTACTGATGGTTGTTAACCACCATGTGGGTGCTGGGAACTGAACCTGGGTTTTGCCTGCAAGAGCAGTCAGTGTTCTTAACTGCTGAGCCATCTCTCCAGCCCACAACGATTTTATTTTATTGGCATTGTGTCTATATATATATATATATATATATATATATATATATATTTTTTTTTTTTTTTTTTTTTTTTAGAAAAGTCCTCCT